CAAGGCATAAGGGATGAACTTAAAAAGTATTACATAGTTAAAAATTCAAGAATAATGTGTAACTAAAGATAATGAAAAAAACAATTTTTAAATTATTATTATTCTGCAAGTAATTGAGTGGGTTATGATAAAAAAATCACTCTGTATAATAATAACAGCACTATTNATGTCTCAGTATATAATAATAATAGCACATGTCAATGCAACATACGTTTATTTTAAACAATTTTTTTTTTATAAATTATATACATGTTTTAGATACTTGTCGTTTTACGACGGATAGCTATTATTAACAACTACTGTTGGTATTTCTTGGCTGTTTATACTTGATGGTATGATTGTTTCCGACTGTATATTTGCATCTGTTGTATCATCGGCCAGCGACCCAAAAAATGTCGAGCATACGTTTTCTCCATTAGAAGACTGAAAAAAATTATTTATATTTATTAAATACGTTCTACTCAATTAGAAAAAAAAATGTAACTCATCATTTCTTTAGTATATTCTTCCAGCATCGTCCACCGTTGTTCCAACTGCTGGCTTGCAAATTGTTTTATTTGGCTTATGTAGCTCAGATCGCTATTGGGTAAACTATTTCTAATCGTATAATCCGAAACCGCATTGATCAACATACATTTGTTTTCAACATTTACTTCATACTGAGATTTCATATATTGAGCCATCTGTTCCAACTGTTGTAGAACCAATGGTTGAATTACAGTCCTCTTTTGATTGATAGTCTCGAAGATACAACATTCCAAAGTGCTGAGTTTTAAAATGTCTGATCGGATGAGTAACACTCGGCATTTNTGATTGGGTGAGTAACACTCGGCATTCATCTTGTGCTTGTGATTCAAAGACTAGCGAAGACTCTCCTTGAAACGTAGTCTTTGAGAGTGTAACGTATTCATCCTTGAGTAAAATAATCTTTTGTCTTGATACCGGGTCGAGAATTAGTANAAATAATCTTTTGTCTTGATACAGGGTCGAAAATTAGCGACAGAATATTACCCATCAACGTATAAATCCGTTGTAGGAAATCTATCGTTATAAGTATGTAACGGGTTGACGATAGTAAACGAATAGTTACGTTAAATCGATCTTTTGGATCCAATCCTATCTGAACGAATTTACGAGGATTGAAATTCAAAACGTAATCAGTGCAGTCGATTAATTCACTGTGAGGTTGAGGTTTAACAAATGTTTGTTTGTTATAGAATTTAGCAATTTTAGCGAGAGAGCCAGCCATTCTTAAAGCATACAAATATCGACTTAACACATTATCAACAAGTTAAAGCAACGTCTGANGCCATTCTTAAAGTATACAAATATCGACTTAACACATTACCAACAAGTTAAAGTAACGTCTGTTTATATAGAAAATCTTATAACGATTATAGCGCTATGCATACACCACGGTGAAATTATTAACTAACTTAAACCAATAGCAATAATTAGTCTAATTGTTACCGGTAGATATGTTACAAACAGTTGTAATTACAAGCAGACGGGGTTCAAACAGGATGAACAGGGATTTGAATGGGTTCAGAATGGTTTTAACATGTTCAGACTTGTTGAATCGAGATTATACGATTCCAGGATACGCTGTTCGGTAAACCGACACACTCTCCCTACTACANTCCAGGACATGCTGTTCGGTAAACCGACACAGTGTCCCTACTACTTTTATAAACAGCCTACTACATACCATACATAGTACAACGTGCTACAATTATTATAGCGTATACTAAATTTGCTGTATATATTTAATGTGTAAAACTCTTCTTTGTACTGCTTAGTCCTACAGACTTATATTTAATATTCATTATGCAGAAAGACATAAAGTGTAGATAAATACGACAAAATTGTATAAAATAAAAAATAGTATATTTTATTGAATTTTAAATATTACAAGTTTATGATAATAAGTTTTTTTTATTTTATATAAATAAGTTTAAAAAACAAGGAAAAATATTAACAAATTAGTGAAAATCAAACAAATATTCATTTCANAATCAAACAAATATGCATTTCCACTTTTGCCTCTATATAATAAATGTAATTTGTTGTCATCATTGTTGATATTGTAAGCTTCGATTTCTTCATTAGTTAATTTCAATCTCGGGATAAACACATTCATATTGTTGAATAGACAACCAACAACGACAACCCCATTACGTGCGCTTGTATTTTTCATAGATATGATTTTGTATGGCGTGTGTTCCTCCAAATCACTTAATTTTGAATATCTTTTTAATGCACTCTGATCGTTCAACTGTTTCTTTAATTGCTCCATTCTAAAATAAAAAATTAATAAATATTTAACAACTCTAAACATAACTAGTAACCAAAGTCAGTAGAAAATAGTTTAAATGAAAAATATATATAAATGTATTACTTACTTTATTTTATATCAAAAGTCTTAGAAATTCTTTAGGACAANCGTAAACGGGGGAAATCCCCCAAAAAATTACAAATTTAAAAATCGCTAATTTTCGATATTTTTTCAATTTTTTTTACTTAAAATTGCCATAACTTTTTTAAAAATGACCGAATCAATATGATTTTTTTTTTTAAAGATACCTTAGATAATTACCTATCATTTTATATATTTTTATGAACATTTTATCCTATAACAGCCCACAAGATGGGGTTTCAAAATGGTAACTTTTTTCACAAAAATTAACTTTTTCAACTTAACTTTTGAAAATGTTCCGGAAAGACTGACACTTTTATATATATCTTAAATTAAAGCTAATGTAATATACTTTAATTTGAAAAAAAAAAATTTGACCTCTGGACTTGTCTTCATGGTGAAAATGACTACCGTATGCAAAAATATGCTATTTTTTTGAAAAAATTCTTGATATTATATTTTACATTTTTTAACATTATGATGCTATAACTTTTTAAAAAATGCATGAATCAATTCTATTTTTTAACAATAAATACTTTATATAAACTTCTTTCATTTAAAGTCCTTTTTTTTTAAATCGGACATTTTCCCTTTATACAGGGGGGGTGCAAAGTTTTTAAAATGCATATAGACAGTAGAACTTTGTCAACTTAACTTTTGAAAATGTTCCGGAAAGACTGACACTTTTATATATATCTTAAATTAAAGCTTTTGTAATATACATTAATTTGAAAAAAAAAATTTGACCTCTGGACTTGTCTTCGTGGTG